TGAAGTTTCAAGGACGCGTCACGATTAGACAAACTTCGTTACATGAGAGAGAAGGAAGATATAAAGTAGTATGTGATGGAAAGCTATACATTTTATATGTTTATTAAAGAAGTCTCATTTCTATCGGTGCGGCACGCGAAGTTTTTTTAAATACTAATGCTTGGTGACGCAGTTGCTAAACTATTGGCGACACCGGACCGTGGCTTCGATTTCCAAATGGGATAAGTATTTGTTTGACCCAAAGATAATTCCGGATTTGGAAGTCCGTTTCGGAATGCAGGCGGCCGGTCGTAAATAAGCTAGCTAATAACCACACGATTCGCACGTGCCGGTGGGATAAGGGTAAGTGGAAAAAAAAAACTTATCGGCAAAGTTATCGGATACCGAATGACGGTTAACGCTGTAATGAAATATTGATGTCACAACGTTGCGCTGTCCCGGTGGCTTGGTATGAGTCGTGTTGTCTTAAAATAGAAAAAAAAAATGTGTTTGTACAGTTTTCTCACTTCTGTTAATACATAAATATAGATATAATTACAACGGGTTAGAAATTATAAGTCTCATTGTAATAGTTACGATATTCCATTTAAATTGTGAAGATAGATTTCAAAACACGCAGTTAATTCATATAGAGGTCAGCCTAAAGTAGGCTAAAGTGCGTTTACGCGTATTCATCGCAAATTTTGACAATGCGTTCAATTGTTTGAGTAGGTAACAAAAATTCTTTTAAGAACAACACTTTATTTTTGAAGACGGTTCAAATGATTGTTTTTTTTTTATTCCCGACCACATATAGGTTTCGAGTTTTTTCACCTCAAACGCCCGGCAAATTTCGTACAATGCCGAGAATTTGATAACGTTATCAATATTTGAACGGATTCAATTCTGCGAAATTGTATCATAATGAACAACGAATCCATAACGGGAAATGTTTGTCATGGCATTGATAACGTTATTTAATTTACAGGTACTTCTTCTTTTTAACATCAAAGTCTATACTATCATTTTATCAAAAAAAATCTAAGAAGTATTATTAGTTGTCGCTAGAATTTTTACTAGGCTTCTCCAAGTAATATTTCTTAATCTATCAGTTGCGTACTGGACGGCCCGGATGCGTTAATAAAGATTTGAATTTGTTAATGGTCATAGAGCCGTGATAGCTCAGTGTCTGATTCATTATACTCGAGCAAGCTGAGTTCAAACCGCCGCACATATATGACACTCTTCACACACCCACACAATCAAAAAAAAAAAATCAAAACACTCGTAGGGTTGCAGATGCGTTTGGGCTCCGATTACCGCACTCACCAGACGAAATTTTCACGCCAGACTTCATGAGGTCGTGGTCCCCAGACGGACCTGCCCATTATTGCAACAGCGAAGATTGTTGCGTGACACTGCCACAGTTGAATTTACCAGATTCAGACATTTATAATTCTAACTGAATTTGCAGGTCGATCAATAGTTGGAACATACAAAATGACTATTGTGAAGTTTCGTTACAAATATTATTGTTTGATATGCATCTGCAAGACAAAAAGAAAGAAAGAAAGAAAACATTTATTGTACTAATACGCCACATGTATCAATCTGGAACAACCACGATGCTTCTAGATTAAAGCCAGCTATTCACTGATCTTTATTTACGTATTCCCTGTTATCTGTAGCCGCAGATGATGCCAGGTAATCAGGGGTCACTGGACATCCGTAGCCCGCTCCACCGCCTCAGCAAGTTTACGGGCCCGATTTGAAACGCGTAATTGTCGTCGTCCAGTTTATGGGGCCCGTTTTATTTTTATAGTGTCACATTCCCGCGCTGACGGCGGCGTCACGTGTGCATGCCATAATGGCTGCATCTCTTACGTTCCTTCACCCTGTACTGCCCAGTGATAATTAACAGTTCCTTTTAATTATCTACACCGGTTTTATCATTCTTTTGTTATTTGCTTTCAATATTATTAACAAAAGTAAATTACATGGAAGCCTCTGTAAAACAATATATGTTCGTTGCGAATTTCGTGTTTGCTTTGAACTTACTTCCCCATGAGTTAGACCTTAAACAACTCAGAACTAAATGGCAATCGATATTGATGCTGCGCTTCTTTGTCCGTCACCTTATCGTAACGATTTTAATAACTTTCCTGAATAAAACTTTAAAATATAGCTTAACTAGCGACCCGCCACGGCTTTGCATGGGTGCAATGTATTATACATATAAACCTTCCTCTTGGATTCAAGATCTAGTAGTTCTCTATCTAGTAAAAAAACCGTATCAAGATCCGTTGTGTATTTTTAAAGATCTAAGCATACATAAGGACAGACAGACAGCGAGACGACTGTGTTTTATACTATGTAGTGATCTGACTTCTCGTTGCTTGAGAATTGACTATTTAGTACCTAACTTTGTATTGGGCGGTAGTTTGCGCGATTACCGATAGCGCATAACATGGGCCCAGCGCGCGAAGCGTGTTTGCAGACAGCAACAATGGCTGTCAACGTGCCATTGTTTAAATTGGGACTTCCTTACAGCGGCGACGTGGTTCACTTTTCTTGTTGGACGGTTTACAAGCGGCTTCCTGTGTTTATTGCGGACGCGGCCGGAGCCGCGGGTTTGTTTACGAAATTTATTAATTAATCCCCGCTCGACCGTTGCCATCGAATTGATACCGGACTTTTTGTTATGCTGCATAAGCAATCATATTAAGCGAGTTAAAGAAAACAGCCTATACTATATGACTCGGCAGTAGCCAATCCAAAGTGCGATAATGTGGGAAGGATGACTTCACCACCGAAGTCACAATCACATATTACAGAATTCACAGGTCTATCCTGTTAAACTAGATAGCGGCGACAGATAGCTAGTCCAGCTGTAAAATTAAAAGAAAGAAAGAAAAAATATTTATTTGGTACATGAATACAATAATTTCGTTACAAAAAAGAAAACAATCCTAAATGTTAAATATCGTAATACCATGGACCAAACCAAGAAGGTTTCCACTCAACGTAGATTCACGAAGTTTATAACCTCAAGACAGTTGATTTTGAAGTTCAGTTTCTTCCGATCCACGCAGCAAACATAAACTGAATCTTGAAGTCTTGCATTGGCGGTGTGCTCGAGTATACATTAAATATTATTGATAACAGGATTCCAAGCCGATCGTTGAACATAGTCATCTCCTCTGTTGATAAATGCATACGATAAATAATAATAAATATTAAAGTAGTTATAGTAAAAGAGCGTAATATCAAACCAGTTTCGAAGCATTGCCGTTTAATTAAGTAAGCATTAATTAACCTTTCATTGCAACGGCATTTTTATACATCCTGTACAGCTTGAAAATGGACATGCTACCTTAAGAACAGATTATTAGGCGTTGATGTTCTCTGGGAGATTGCAAGATAGCATATAGGCTTCGAGAATTGAAATTTGTCTGTTTTTATGTTTATTTTTTACCAAATCTAACGGTTTGGTAAAAGCCTGTAGATTAGCCCCAAAAGATAAAAATTTTGCTGATGATTTTGTGCGTGTTCGGTTTACATGATCAGTTGTGAACTTTGCTGTCATTTTGTCACGAGTTGCTCTTCGACACTGGAGATATTACTATTGACTACGATGAATATATCTGGAAATTACAGTTTTATATACGGAATTCAAATCGTTTTAAGAATACGGACATTTATAATAATATTATGAATAGGTACCTAATGTTTGCTTATTTGTAAGTACTTGTGATCATAAAGAAAAACTATATCAGTGAGACGACTGTTAATGTACGATAATTGCTAAATGTGCGTGATTTATATCTCATAAATTTCGGCATGAAAAATTTGAGTTCATTTACATCATGTACTTGAATTATCTTAGGGTAGAATTAGTACGAAACTTACATTCCGTAACGTTACATTAACGATCCGTGTTATTTAATACTACATAGTATAAAACAATGTCGTCCCGCTGTCTGTATGTCCATATGATGCGGTTTTTTTTACTAGATAGAGTGATTCAAGAAGAAGATTTATATGTATATCTAGCGACCCGCACCGGCTTTGCACGGGCGCAATGTATTATGCATATAAACCTAACACTTGAATCACTCTATTTGGTAAAAAAAACAGCATCAAAATCCGTTGCGTACGACGACTTTGTTTTATACTATGTAGTGATACATTAAACCCGTGCGAAGCCGGGGCGGGTCGCTAGTTTAATATACGAATGATACGCTGCTATGCTTTAATTAATTCGAAACTTTTTTAATCTCGGTTGAACGCACTCTTACCAGTGTAATTAGCGCTAATAATGAGTAATTGGTGCTTGAGTGGTTATTTATATAATTTTTTGTTAGGCAACATATAAGTTCAAGGATGAGATGCGAGGCTGGCGTGTCCACTAAATAAGTTTTAAGAGATTTTTAGCGTATGTCAGTGTAATAGCACTAAAACAAACTTAAATCCGAATTCATATTTTAAAAGTAACCTTCGGTAAATGCTAGGAATAGTTATTTTTGACAATAACGGGTACAATATTTCCTTAATTGTCATTACGAATAAGCATTTAATGGTACCATCGAGTAAATTTAAATGCTTTTTCCTGTTCGTCTGCAGTGTTAATGATTTAGAAGCAATTTTCAAACAATATCCGGCTGATCTATGGTAGGACCGTGGTAGGACCACGCAACAATATTCGCCGTTGCACGAATGGGCAGGTCTGTCCGGGTAAGTACCACAACCTCACAGAAGACTGGCTTAAAGCAGAAGTGTTCCACTTCTGCGTTTCGTCTGGTGAGTGAGGTAGTCGGGGCCCACGTTATTAAAAGGTGGCAACACATCTGCAATCGATGTTGCAAATGTCCGTGGGCCATTTCATGTCCAGTTCCATTGCCACTTTCTCACATAAAAAAAAAATTTGCTCGCTCGAAGCACTTATCGGTCATCCACGAACATAGGCGATGTCAACGGCCCGCAATAAAGACTCGAATCAAGTGAAACGCGTCTGCACCTAAATGCCTCCAACGGAGACCGCAGTAGAAGGCATGCTGTGTCTGTCGCGCCACGACAACTGCCCATGGCACGAGGCCCTGAAGTCCGCCGACGTCAACTGGACCGGCCTGCGGTACGCCTGCCTCAAGATACTGCACCTGTACTGCAAGGTCTTCGAGAAGGAGGACATTTTGGAGTTGATCATTAGGTGAGTCCCAACGAGTAGGGTGGAGTCTTTTTATTTTTCACGTCCTGTTTGTAATGCCAGGGTAATGTTTTTATTCTTCCCCTGACACTGACGTGGGGGTTTTTCCTATCTTGTTTTTTAATCCTTGCATTTATTACTTTTTTATTACTATGTTAGTAATATTCTTAAGTTTGCACTTTATAAGCTTCATAGCTAGGTGGTAGTTAGTGTGGTAGATGTTGAACCTGATGAGGCGGTGACCACGTACCATCAGGCAATCTTGTTATGTCATCACCTCTATACTTATAGATTCCTTATTTTCCCCGTTTCATTTGTTTTCGATCAATCTATTCTTAGTGTCCAAGATAAATTTGTTTGTTTTTCTATAAGTCTGTCCCGTGACCATGAACACTGGGAACAGTTCGAATACGGGAATTTAAAATCATAATAAAAACGCAATGAAATCGGCATGTTTTTTTTAATTAATTTCAATTAACCATTATTTTTATTAAATTCTTAGACCTTTTAAAATTTTTATAAGCAAATATATTAAGCGATATATGTATAATTATATTGTTGGATTTATATTTTTTGCGTGTATGTCCAGTAAAATTATTATTATAGATATATATCTGTATTTTATACAGTTAATAAACATAAAAGTTAATTGTGTATAATCTATGTTAGACATTTATCGTTGTCACTTTAAGAAGACCTTGGGTACGAACGCTCGAAAACATCGTTAAATTGAGTTTTACTGTTTCCTTGCCGTTAGTTGCTAAGTAAGATTCGCAATAAACCCTAAAAAGAAACTATTTAGATAACGGCCGCATCAATTTACACAAAGAAACTTTCCGAGGCAAAGTTCGCCCCTTAACATAACACGTAGTTGCTACAAAAGCTTTTAGTAGTTTCCAAAGATTTATGTAATATCTTTAGTGAGATTACTATTTATCTTATGGGCCGCTGTTAGCGCCTTTTTGTCATCAACGAGCCAAGTGTGACCACCGTCGATTGAGACGAAGTTCGGCCTGGTATGTGCACTCGTTAGCTGAAAGCACTACATTGATTATAATTGCTTCTTTTGAAATACATTGCCCTTACTTTGGGATAACATTATCTTGCGTTGTAAGGACGTTTTTACAAACATAAATTTCACGCGGACAAACACCCAGACGCGGAACAACTTTCTGTGGGTCACACAAATGGTTGTCCCGTGTGGGAATCGAACCACGACCCCGACGCCAAAGCCGATACCTTGGCGACTGCGTCACGGAGTCATCAAATGCAATCAATGCAGGATTATTTATTCACTGTTTGCGGTGCATTACCCAAAATGAAACGAACCTTCTTGGGTAGAGGATAATAATGAATCCAACTTTATATTATTCTTCCATTGGGACGTTGTCGACGTTTGTAAAATGATTGCCATACCGTTTCTAAAGCATACAGCCAAGGAGTGGAACAATTTACTGTCTTTCCCTCTTATAACAATGTATGTTTGAAGGGGAAAGGTGCGCATAGGTTCTATTTTTCTCTTGTTTTAGTTTCCTCAACAATTTATAACCCCTCGAAGGTAAACACAACATGCATGCATATAAAAAAAAACTTATCTAAATGATCTGCAATTAACTACAAATAGCATTGTACAAGTAAAGAGATAAAGTTTTTATGTAAGAAGATTGCAAGTGAGTTGGTGGTTTATTTAATGTTAAGTAATAATTAACACTTTTTACACTTTTAGGGTTGCAGATGTGCAGCTTTTAATAAAGCGGGCCCTGGTTACCACACCGACAAGACTAAAAGCAGAAGTATAACACTTCCATTTCACGCCAGTCTTCTAGCAGGTCGTGGTACTTACCCGGACAGACCTGCCCGTTCTTGCAACAGCGAAGACTGCTGCATGGCCCTACCACATTATTGACTCGCTTTAAATCTAAGATATTGATCCCTTCAATAAATCCGTTCACTTCATATTGAACCTAAGTATTCTCACAGTTGCAGGTCAAAAAGGCCGGCATAAATCCGGAAATGAACCCCACGTTAGCGATGCGATAGCCCGTTGCTTTAACGACTGAGCCACGCGCGAATACCGTGTCATTCATTAGCACGGCCGTAAAGTGTTACGACCCACCGACGAGTTACAAGGTTCTAATGCCCACAAAAACGTTCTCCTCTGGCAATTGGTACGGTAGAGAGGACGTAATACGTGTTCGCGGCGATTCGTCCCGTGTCGATATTAGTTCGCAGTCTTTGTAAATACATGGAACTAGCTGTTGTTACCCGCGAGATCGCCTGGATTGCTTGTTTTTAACAAATACACCGCTTGCCCCATTTCTCCAACAAAACACATCATTGAACACGTTAGTTAAAAATCGTTGTTGCATCTTCACTAATGACGAATGAAGATATCAAAATGTTATTTTTTAAATAAGGTATAATTGCAAGACGCGCGCACAAAGTCAGACTTTTGTATTTTATTATATAGATATAATTAGAAAAGGAAATGTAGGTTTTATGAACCTAAGTACGTCGGACCCACCGTCGAGGGTCCCGCCCGATAAAACTACACACACAGTGCACACACCCTAGTTTGTCCTCGCCTTCGAGCACGGCGAAACCAAAACAACGCGTACACTAGGTACACCCGCATTCCAGGACGGTTCTCACCGCCCCAGCCACCGACTAACCAAGCACAATCAACGGCTATCGGGGTCACGGTCCGCACCGAACCTCGATAGCCCGTAGGCGACACTCCTTAGCCAACGCACGCATGAGGTAGGCAGTTGGACACCGACACGGCACTATTTGGCTGGATCGGGTGTCCCTAACACCCGGAGAGAGGAGGTCTGAGAAGGCCACAGTCGCGACGGGGTTCGCGGAAGATTGCGTTTTCGTGTTCCCGTGTCCCCGGCAAAGCGACAGCGCAGGTGCAACGTGGGTTTCTTAGTGGGTACCGTGTAACTCCCACATACCCCTGCTGCCTACCCACAAGGTAGCGGGGATCCATAAAGGATTTTTCCCACGTAAAAAAAAAGGCAGTTGGAACTGTGGAGGGCCTCAAACCCGTGGGTTCTGGCTAGCCCACTGGTTCTGCGTTCGATGAAGCTTTAGTAGTCTCGGGACTGAAAGCGTCAACATCAGTTAAAAATAAAAAAAGGTTTTATGGCAACACTTATTGACTGTACTGATGTCACGCAGCGGGTTCTGCTATTGCGTGGAAAAGGTAGACTTAGAACAGCTTCGTATTTAGTGATGTAAGTAGAGGCCAATTGAACGCTGGCGATGGCAACATCATGGCAACTGGTGTGAGGTTGTTCATGGGCGATAGTTATCACCTACAGCCAGGTGATCTAAATAAATATTTAGTCATTCAGAATAAGATGTTTATGCGCTTGATACAAATCGGTCGATTTGTTCAGTAAATTAAATGCAGTTAAATATCATGCGGTTGGTTTCACACAAATACTTGTGCCGTTTGGGAATCGAACCCACGAACCCCAGCGCAGCCAAGCCATCAACTTAGTAACTGCGTCACCGGGCCATTCTTAATTATATTCGTATAGATTAGAAAGCGATAGAAATAACACTGACACTTCACGGCTCTTCTTTTGCTTTTATAAATAAATTTACGTGGTGACATTGTCGCGTTTTTATAATTATTAAGTTATCCAACGATCCCGTCGAACATTTTCTTGGCATTAGATCAGTGACGAAGGTTAGGCGGACGTTTGCAATATACTATCAATTTGACGCGCCTCTAATGAAGTTTGAGGAGGCATATCAAAAGATCAAAAGACGGGCCGCCTTTAATGTTTAACGGTAAGGCGGAAGTCCATTGTGTAGGTGATTTAGAGGGATAGTGTTTGGAAAATTGAAATTTATAATTTATATGTTATTAGCAATTACGATGACACACGCAACAGTCTTACCCCACGAAGAATATCATGGGGTATTATAAAGAAGAATGAAATCCATATTTGTGTAATTTTCCCATTTTTTGTGAACGTTGTCTTTACCACGCTTTTAAATTACATCAAGGTGAATAATAACTACAAAACAATTCCTAATGCACGAATAGGCTAGCTGGAGCACTGTGATGCCGTACAGAAGACCAGCGTGAAGTAAAAGTACTTGCATGAAAGTGCCACACTCTTATTAACGCATCTGCAACACAACAGCCTTGTAGATGTCCATGCGGTAAATACCTAACATCAAGTGAGTTGCTTGTCACTCCATAAAATAGAGTGAGTGAAAATACGCCTGCAACTCATCTCTGAATCTCTTTTGTAACGGGTGTTTGGGCAGCGGTCCTCCCTTACCATATCTATCACCTGATAAGGTGCGATCCATGAAAAAAAAATACTTTAATACGATGATCAGCTTTTATGAAATCTCATTGGAATCGCTTCATGTAAGCACAGTGCTGAAAAGCGTCTTTTTATTTTTAACCTACTTCAAAAAAGGAGGAGGTTTCTCAATTCGACCGTATATATTTTTGGAACGAAGTTCCTTATCGCGCGTTGTGAAAGGGGGCTAGACGGAAAAAAATTCTCACGAAAAGTTGTAACGACAATTTTTGCTATAGTAAGCTATTGTAAGCTGTGCGGCGTCCGCATGTTTCTCTGTCTGTTTTGTTTGTCTGTCAGACAGACAAACATGACAGTTTCTAGAGGAAGAATTTGATTTAAGAATTAACAATAATCCAGCAGAATCAACAACAAAATATAATACTACCATTGATGCAGTTTTTGCAAGACATTTAAATAAAATAGTATCCCAAACATATGTTTCCTAATTCAGTTACCACATGCCAATCATTACTAAAATTGAGCATACTGATTAAGTTTATGTTACATTATATTTGTTAATAATAAAAAAAATATTATTGTAAATTAAAAAAAATTATTACAATTCCTTCACTAATTAATCGAAAGGAACTTCGTTCCATCCGGGTGTCGCTTGACACCTCTCAATGTTTTTTTTATTTTTTTTTTATGTGTGTTCGGGGATAACTTCGTTATTTATGAACCGATTTTGATGATTCATTTTTTGTTGGAAAGGAAATATTCCAAGGGTGGTACCATGATAAGGAAACCCAGATCTGATGATGGCATCCCAGAGAAATCGAGGGCAATCCTCAAATGCTATAGGAGTTGACAATGTTGTTTTACTTTCCAGTTTGAAGTCGGTTTGTTCAAAAAAAATTTTTTTTTTTCAATTAATTGTTATAGCCCAGTACTAGTGTATTGTTACTGGCAGTCAAATTTAAATCAACGCTTCATGCTCTCGCTACCCATGAATGCGTGAATAACATATTGTTTAACAGACTTTCGAGGAATATGTTTGGATAATTTGAAATAACAAACATAACCCAGATTGTTCGTGAACAAAAAGGAGGTTTCCGCGCAACCTTTAAGACACGTTTGACTTCTCTTTCCGGTACACCTCTGTCATTTTTAAACAATATTATTTTTATTACAAATAACAATTAATGTAATTATTTTCGCGAAGTACTTTAGAACACATAAGTTGTAGAAGTAATAATTTCTAACTGTTATAGAAACGGTAAGAATTATATTTCATAAACGACGTCTGTTGCACAGTATAAGTAATTTTGCGTCTGCATTTAATCTGTTTAGTGAAGTAACTCGCGCCCACTGTCTCGCTAAAAGGTTCGAAATGCATCGCAACTCCATGCGAGTGGTCGCCATTTTTCTCATAAAATAATCTCTTTATACCATTTCTCAAAGATGTTTTTTGTAAATGGCGTATTACGTCCATAGTTCTTCATCAAATTTAATTATTCAAAGACCACTTAATAGTTAATGTTTGGCGATGTTGACAAATAATGAGACAAGTAGAATTAATGTTTTCATAAAAAAAAATTACTTTAAAAATTTCTTATGAAGAATCACTACATAGTATAAACAAAGTCGTCCCGCTGTCTGTTTGTCCCTATGTATGCTTAGATCGTTTAAACTACACAACGGATCTTGATGGCGTTTTTCTTAAGATAGAGTGATTCGAGAGGAAGGTTTATATGTATAATACATTGCACATATGCGAAGCCGGGGCGGGTCGCTAGTTTATCATAATGGCATCTACTGACAATCTGTTTTATGTAAGACATCGAACGAATATGATGTGATGAAATACAAAAAAGTTATTCTTCAAAATAATATACCTTTCATTGATATATACTTATTGAAACATTATTAATTTACCACTCGGTGAATGATGGCGGTCCTGATAATTTCGCACACAATTATATAATTGCTTAATCCTTAATTATTTAATAATTGTAAGTAAAAACCGATGTTATAAATGACATTCCAGACGCTTTAGCGTTCGCGGTTTCTTCTGATGTCATTGCGTTTGCTTTGCATCTTCGGACGTTGTTGAAGCACAATCAATGCTTTTATTGTACTATTAAATACCAAATCGTCGCCAATAACATTATAATAGCACCAATCGACTATAAGACAGTATAATACTGGCCGTTTCGAAGAAGATAGCGTTCGTTTCGATTTTATTAGGATAATATTATTTTAAGTCACCAGACGCGAAACCTCGGCTCCGACCTTTGGCACTGGTCTAATGGAACGAGCCGGCCGAGCCCATAGCGTTTACTTTGGATTGCTTGCAAAGCAAATAAATCTGGTGGTAGGGTTGTCACTCAAAAAAATCCTTTAACGATTATCGTTTATAATTCAAAGTGTATCATAAATGATAATTTTTATAAATCGTAATTGTGAATATTTGCTCAGCGGCACCATAAAGCATTATTTAAATAAAACGACAAACAATGTTCATTTTAAGACGAATCTCAATTTCTAAGCTGTTTATGTTGTGACAAAAATCGTTATATATAAAGGCATTTCGTCACTTTTTTACTTTAACTTGATAATACAATTTTGAAATTATTTAACCATTTAAATACTTTTTATATAAGTAGCAAAGAGTTTAGTTTTGCTTTTTATAATCATGCATATTATTTTTAGTAATTAAAAGCATCCAGTTTTCATTTCAATAATAGCCCACCCCATCTATTTGAATTAGATGGGGCGTGGCGAACCTAATTTTTCACTAAATTATATAAAATAGTGCCAACCCTGCTGAGTGTAAGGTGATTTGAGGGAATCAATGTGGATAAATTGGGCGAAACAAGTGAAGTTGTTTACTATTCGCTATAGGTTTATGCTTTGGCGGTTCAAACACTGCTATAGTTACTCCACAAGTTTTTATGCTAATAGTAAGGCGTGTGGCCCACTAGGTTTTGACACCAATCATTTGGCTCGTCTTAGCCGCCGGTCGTGGTTTCGAGTCGGGACGCTGTTTGTTACGAATTACCATTAATTTTAAATCGCTATAATCTCTTTTTACGCTTAATACTTTCTATTTCAGTGACCGTAGCGCAAAACACGTCATCAATTTTTTTCCCGCACTCTAACCGACATTCAAACCAGTGGCAACATCGAGTCGATGCTTCCAAACGATTCATCGACAATTTAATTTAGATATCTTACACATCTTGTGCACACTACAATTGATCCTAATATTATGTATAACTACTGAAATAACTTTCGCAACATAGAGATGGCCCAAAGAACTCCATCGTCCTACACACTGTCAGGTACTAACATATTAAGTTCTATTATCATCTTTATGCGTGTATATGTGACT